CATGATGATACTCAGGATAATGATGATGATGATGATACTCATAATTATCTGAGATCAAGTGGTATATCATGGGGATCTGGTGCTGGTCAACAGATAGTCACTGTAAGAAAAGTGAATAATGGGAATCGAGGTAATAATGGGAATTATCATCCATTGCATAATAATAATAATTACTAATTGATGATTATAGATATAAGCAGTGATGTTTATTGGTTAATAGAAGGAGGAGTCGATGACAAGGATGATGATTATGATGATCATGACGAGTGTCTCAGTGGGCATAATATACAATGTGGATCTAGTATAAGGCTAAAACATGTATCAACTGGTAAATATTTACATAGTCATAGGTAGTAATAACACTAATAATAAGTAGTATTAGTAGTTATAGGGATCCTTCTAATCTATCGGGTCAACAGGAAGTAACAGGTTATGATGGTCATGATGATTGGGTAGTAGAATGTAAGGAAAGTGGGAGGAACCACCACCAATATTGGCTATATACTACCACTACTAAATCATCATCGTTAATTGCATTACGACATAAGGCTACTGGTAAGTAGTAGTAGTAGTAGTATTAAGAAGGGTACTAGATGGTAGTAAATTATGATGATAAATGGTAGGTAAATATTTAACATCATCAATCAAGTATCAATATCATGAAGGTAACTGTCCTGGATGTCCTATTATAGGGGATAGAGAAGTTGCATGTGGTAATACTAAAGAGTATATATGGGTAGTAGATGGAGGTGCTATGATATCAATATCACAAGAAGAAGGAAGAAGAGATCATCATATTACTAATGATGATGGTAATGGAACTATACACCTAGCAGATGATAATGATGAATTATGAAGTTGTGTTGCTCTTTATTATTACCAGCACTATTTCAACATCAGATGATAGAGATAACGAAGGAGAAGGATGATGATGATGATGAGGAGCAGGAGAAGGAGGAGTTGTGTTATTATTAGTATATCAATCATTAATTACCTCCTATGGTAGAGTATCCTACCCTTTTTCTTACTCCATCATCCGGCTAGTAGTATCGTCGGTAGTATTAGTGATACCATGACTGCTACTGCTGCTACTGCTGGGTCCCAAGATAATGTGGTGGAAGGGGAAGCCTCCACCATAATGGGGCCTTCATCATCATCATTATGGTGGTTTATTGATACTAAGGTGGCTAGACAACATATTAGAGGTCCATATACTGTATCCCAAATGGGAGTATTATTTGATGTTGGTACATTAACTCATACAACACAAGTACTACTACTACTACTACTACTACTACTACTACTACTACTACTACTACTACTACTACTACTACTACTACTACTACTTAATACTATTACACAGTATAATATGATGATCATAATAATAATAGGTATGGAAAGCTCGAGGGGAAGGAGATGATGAAAATGATGGTAGCGATGAATGGAGATCGTTAAAGCAAGCAACAGATCTAATACATGATATGGATACACTCAACAACAACGATGATAATAATAATAAGGAGGAGGATATATTATCTCAGAGATTACCTCTAGATAAGGTAATTATTATTATATGGAATAGTAGTGTTATTAGTATTAATTGATAGTTATAGATACCATCAACAGAGATACGACAATGTACATCATGTATTGTTGCACAGAAAGAGGGTTATTGTGATTTAACATATTTCTGGGATAGACCCAATAAGGTAATAATAATAATCATAATCACTATTATCAACATCATCATTTATAGATGTGGTTATTATGGGACGAATATGAAACATTATGCCGTAATGAAGGGTTAATAGATGGTCTTATTATCAATAATAATAATACTACACACAACAATGTGCTGCTATCCAAACAACAGCAACAACATGATGGTGATAATGATGAGCAGAAGCAGAGGGCTAGTAAGACAGAAGTGTATGTACCATTAGATGATCCTGATAAGGAGGCTAAAAGAAAGAAACGAAGAGAATATCGTGCTAGGAAAAAATTAAAACAACAGGCAGGATTATGGAAAGCTAGAGTTAAAGATGAGAATAATCCTAATATATATATTAGTGGTTTACCTAATGATATTACATTGGAGGAACTGTAAGTCGGTGGTGATGGTGATGGTGGGAGTTGGCTGTTCTTCTTCATCATCATCACTTCCCCCATTATCCATCCCTCATAAATGTTTATTATTATCTACTAGATATAACCTATTCAAGTTAGCTGGTGCTATCAAGACTGATATGGAAACAGGACGTTATAAGATTAAAATATATGGCAAGCTACAA